CCACCATCTGTCCTTCTAGGTTCCTTCCCTTAACACCAAACCTGCCCATCACCTCCCCATCACCTTTGTTCCCCTCACCAATGTGCCCGTTGAAGTCTGCCCCAATCACCACTCTCTCCCCTCTGGGAATACTCTCCATCACCTCATCTAACTCACTGCAGAATCTCTCCTTCTCTTCTAACTCACACCCTACTTGAGGAGCATAACCACTGACTATATTCAACATGACCCCTTTATTTTCCAACTTCAAACTGATCACCCTGTCTGACACTCTTTTCACCTCTAAAACATTCCTCATGAGCTCCTCCTTCAGGATCACTCCTACCCCATTTTTCTTCCTGTCCACACCATAATAAAACAGTTTGTATCCCCCTCCAATGCTACGTGCTTTGCTACTCTTCCACCTGGTCTCCTGCACACACTTCTACCTTCCTTCTCTCCATCATGTCCGCCAGCTCTCTACCTTTCCCTGTCATTGTCCCAACATTAAGAGTCCCTATTCTCAGACCTATACTCCTGCCTCTCCTCTTCTCTCTCTGTCTACGAATCCTTCTACCTCCTCTCCTTCTTCGACCAACAGTAGTCCAATTTCCGCCAGCACCCTGCAGGTCAACAGCACTTGTCGCAGTCGTTGTTAACCTCGGCCTCGACCGATCTGGTATGGAATTCAAACTGATGATTCGCATGTTTAAATTTGGCATGTTTTTACGGCGGATGCCCTTCCTGATGCAACCTTGTCTATTTATCTGGGCTTGGGACCGGCACAGAAGTCACTGGCTTGCAACCCCTGTGGCTAGATTTTTTCCTCTATAATAATAACAGTGATAATAATAAGGTCTAGACCTTACTTTGTAAAGTGTCCTGAGATGACTTTTGTTGTGATCTGGCGTTATAGAAATAAAATTTGAATTTGAATTGAATCCTTGAATCCAAGTGGACATGTGCCAAATTTGAAGACATTCCCTTGAGGCGTTCCTGGCATATCATACTCACAAGAATGGGGTGGATGGAAGTACAAAGAACCTCAAAACATAATGCCAATTACAAAAATTGGCCACATGCTACTAAAACAAGTCTGATCAGTGTCTAACTCTGTTGTATGCATCTCATAGGAGCACCGCTAGCTCAGCTACAACATAGGTATCTGCATACAGTGGTGACTCACTCAAAGAGACAAAAAATGCTTATAGTGACTGTAAAAGCTCCATCAGACTCCCTGTCTCTCCAACAGAGAGAGGAAGGAAAGTCTGGCATTACAGTAGCTCCTCATGGCTGTTAGCTCTCACTCTGTCATGTTACACTGACTGGTGGTCAGTATTCCCTAACCCTCCATCACACATTACAGTTTGTAGGCCCCTACAGTTGCTGCTCTGTTGCATTGTATTTGTGCTCTGTGAGACTTTGAGTGAGACTTCTAGCAGCATTTGAGGGTGTAGATGCTCTTTCTGAAGTAAAAAAAAAACCTTTTTACGCTGTGGTCATGATTATGGAGCAGGTTTTAGAAAATATCACTGTATCGATAGTGAACACTGAGAGCAATAGGATTCATACCTGTTTTCTTTCTGGGCTTGGAATTATTGTTGTTCATCATCATTTTCTTGGCCTTTTTAATACGCTGATATCTCAGAGCATCAATCCTCTCAGACCCCGAAAGGGCACTCAGCACACCTCGACGTTTTCTGGACAAAGAAGAGAGAAAGGGGAAAACGGGTAACTCCAAGCCAAACATAAATAGTGGATTGTGTTTTTGCACTACGGAGTGCAACAAAACCAGAAACCCACACAATCTCAAAAGAGCACTGCTCGTGCTAAGCCAGAGGTGCAGCACATTGCCATAGGATCAATGTGAGACACCTATAAAGCTGTACTCCAAAAAAGGGTTTTGTTTTGAAGAACAATGCAATTAGCTCTGTTGCTATAATATTGCATGTCATCTGGATTTAGTAAGTCATGTTTAGGTTAATGATGATTATGTTTTAAAAATTTGTTCATACATCCAGATGATATATTAAATTGTGTACCATGAAATTTCATTACCCTTCAGGTATATCTAAGATATTTTGCTCAAATTGATCCAAATAATCTTTATCCAAAAAAAAAAAAAAAAAAAAAAAAAAAAAAGCAAAGTATTACACAATCCCTGAAACCATCTATTCATGTCATGGTAGAAATTAGGACAGAGAGAAAAGTTTTTAAAAGATTCAACACTTAAACGGCTTGCACTGTTGGTTTCAGATGAAAATTGAATAAGATTTTGAATAAATGTAAGACATTTCAATTGATATGTTTGCAGATTGACATTTCTTCTAAAAATGAATCCATCTCACTCTGAAACAACAGATGCAAATGTTTCCTTGGAGTGGAGTATATATTTGTCAGCTGCTCATGATTGCATCTAGAGACCACTCTCCCATTCATGGAGGCACTTATGACTTGGCAGCCCTCAGATTTCTGCCACAAACAGACACTTGGTTCTCTCAAGGTACAGAAACAATTAGCATTACAGAGGGGCCATCTTCCCACCGTGGCTGGAGAGAGAAACCGAAGGTTGTTAGTAGAGGGGGAGAATCACAGCTGAGCAACATAGCATCATCAATATGTATTCATAGACATGGATACTGTCTACAATGGGCTTCACCATGCTGACAGGGGGAGAGATGGCGGGAGGGGAAATGACTACTCGGGAACAGTCACATAATGAAAAATAAGCCAAAGAAAAGCGAAGCACTAGGACAACAAATGTAACAAGAATTTATCCATATAATCGTTTCTTTTTTTGAAACGGAAGAGCAATATTTAGCGATGGCATGCATGGCAGTTTGCACATGGAACACGACTTTAAAGGGGAATACACTGAAAAGCACTTCATTGGGCAATTCACTCAAACATAAGGGGGTTCTCAAACCCCTGTGTGCCCCCCTCTGCAAGCCCGTGGCAAATTATTTGTTCCTTAATATAAAAAGAAGTGCATACACTGTTTTGTCAGGACACTTGCTTCACATGATAGTGAAAACCGTTCTGCAGTTCAAACTTGCAAGTGCAATTGTATACTCAGAGTAGATGGTTTGACTCATGCTACAGATGCATTATACAGGGGATTAAGGCCATGTGTCCACCAGGAATCTTTAAACTATTCGGGCTAAAGAAATTCTTGCGTGAAGTGCTGGTCATGGCTTCTGCTATTGCTCTTTGGCTGTTCAAAGCCTGCTAGCAAACTGCTGCATTTTTATTAAAAACTGGAATATTTTTAACTTCTTGAATGTGGCACACTGAGAACTTTACACAAGCTAAAATTTCCTTACTGCTAAGAACATGCAACAGCATTTCTGCTTAACTGTAATACAAAAAAAAGCTCTAAATAATGGCTCCTAGTGGACACACAGGTAACATCATAACGCCAATCTTAAAAAATATTTCTTGTGATCCAAAATATTTTCAATTGGTGTCATACAATATAAGCATCTGTAAAATATATATGGCAGAATGTGTCACGCTTGAGGAGAATGCTAAGAGTGTCATCAGAGAAAAAATGTGCATAAGTCCACACAGAAGACTGTTTCATAAATACACTGTATGCAAGTGTATAATGTAATAATGTCTATAAAAAAAATGAAGCAGCTGGATGTCAGTTTAACATATTGCTGTATGTTAGGTGCAAATAATAAGTTGGAGGATTGGTACTGCATATCCCCCACAGATGACAGCAAAGACCAGTGACATCCTGAGAAAGACTGCCTCTTTTGTGTGGGTGGCACTGTGAACTTTGACAGTCTCTTCAGCAATTAGTTCATTCTTGTGGGGGATGAGACAAGCAAGAGAGCCTGTCAAGAAAGCTAGGCTAGAGCTAAACCTGAGTAGCATTTGCATATATGAAGTAAGATGGGACTGGATTTCATCCTGAGGAAGATGGCTGGATAGACGACCTAGTTTACCACCGGGCTAAAGGAAGGAAAAGCAAAGGAGGTACACGACTTGTATTCTTGTCTTGGGCACTTCCTTAGTTTGACTGCTGGGTCTTGACCATACATTTGCTGGCAAAAGTCATTTTCAGGAGCTAAGCAATTACACTGGAATTTCTTTCTTGGTATAGTGAAAAACTGATGCCACCCAGAAACCTAGGACTTCTGCTTGGTATGCGGCCTGTACATGAAACTGGTGGAAGAGGAAGAGGGATTCCACAGTGACTGCCTGGAGCAGCATGGGTGAGTGGGTAGTGGGAAGTCAAAGAGAGTGGGTGAGTAGGTCCTCCTCAAACTCAGTGGCACTGAGCTGGTGTTGTGGAAGGAGGCAGACTTAGTGCACTACAGCAGAAGCAAGTGGAGTGGGGATCTTCAGTAGAGAATGGAGACAATGGAGCAGGTCTTGTCCATGATGATACCTTGACCACGACAGTCAATTTTGCTGAAAGGTGCTTTGTACTTGATTCAAGGTGAATGGAGGGAGACAAACACCACTGGCATTCTGCAGTACTGCCTAAGTGAGTGTCAAGATCAATGATCTGCCTCAGTGTGCCGAGGTAGAGCCTCTCAGCAAATCAGTGGACATGTTCAAAGAGGACTGCACTTGTACAAAATTGTACAAAATCCCACACTGTCAAAACATCATCAATTTTTTTTTAGGGGCTTGCTTTTGCATTGACACTCATTTAACTTTTGATGCCAAACACATGACATCTCTGGAATGAAGGCATTTGTGTACAGAAATATTTCTGAATGATGTAACCATTCAGTTGGACAGTAGTTGAGCTTGCCCATTCACATTTATGTTCTTTGGTTTGTGCACCAAGTACTGCCCTGAAATGTCTAAAATATCACTACCAAGCTTTGCTGATTTAATTTTCACTAGTTTAAGGCTGGTGATATTATTAGACACCAAGTTATGTCTAAACCTAAAGTTGATTTATCTGTGCTGAGGTATTCATATTAATAAGTTAAAAAGTTGCTTGTAAATGTGGTCAGTTAGCAAACCACTCAAGCATGAAATCATGTCGGTGACCTCTGACCAAATCTATTCGCTAATAGATGGCATATGCATATCAGCCAGAATGCATAATGTACTAAAGACTGGAGAACATAAAATGCATAGCCACTTCGAGAAAAAGATAAAAAGAAAGAACTGAAATGAACTACACGTATTGACTGAAGGAAGGAACAAATAAAAAAAAAGACTCAAAGTTTTGTATTCCCCTTTAAAGGACGAGGTGATCAAAAAGTCCCACCTGCTAACCCCCCCCTTTCAGACATGGATCCAACCCTTACCTATTGCGGTGTAGAGGACCTGGTCACAACAACGCTGCCCAGATAGCTGAGATCAATCAAAAACAAAGCAGGTAAGACTCCAGGAGCCATCAAAAACCACCATACTGCCCCTAATTCATAATGATGGAAACATTGCAGTTCATGAGAAGCGGACAGGCCCTGTGACACACTTTGCCCAACAACCTTTCCTTGGTAGTCAGACCTGGGGGTGTCCTGGGACAATTAAAGGGGTTGGGGAAAGGAAGGTTAGAAAAAGGGAAGGGAAATTAGGGTAGGAAAAAAATCTTAAAGTAAGGGAGAATTGATCATGCAGTCAGGTCACTAAGGCCGAGGATGGGCCGCAGGGCCTGCCAAGATGAGCTCTTCTTAAAGCATCCCTCTGCATGATAAAGGCATCTTCAAAGGCTTGGTGCTAGATATAACAATGGGTATTTGTCTGGGGAATCAACTGGATGAATATTATGGGATTCCTCCTGTTAGGTGAAAGCAGGGTAACACATGATACAAATGGAAAAACAGGGATCCTGTGATGATGTCTGCAGATTCCCAGGCTTTTAGGGGCTTGTGCCAAACAAATCACACACTACACTGGCAGTACTGTATTTTTGATCCAGAATGATTGTAGCCCCAAAAGGTCTGAAATGTAATCTGTAAAGCAAATTCATGTCCTAATTTGTTCTTTACTTTTAGTCTTCACAAAAGACCAAAAATGTACTTCTTGATCTTTTCATAGGAAAATGCTATTTATTTTTTCAAAGTGCTAATTTTGGAACAATGCTTCACAGATTCATTGGGTGAATACCTCTAACTTGATGTCTGATATGAAAAGCAGCATTTGACCAAATTGAAACTAGACTGAAAACTTCAGTTTATCAAATGAATCATCACAATAAAATGATTTTTCAATACAGTTTTCATTTTTCATACAAAGTGTAAACAAAGTTTTAAAAGCACAAACTAAAATAGAAACTCATTTTCCACAGAGATGATTTATAAAATTGATGGGTACTGGACAGCGCCTCAGTAACCAAAATGTCAGAGCAACTTCACACATCAAAGCGTTATGGGTTGGGGCAGATGACTCAAATGGTATCCCTCTCTGCATGCCTAATGCACCTACCCTGAAGCTGACAACTGGGGTGGAGAGGGCTCAGATGGAAGGATCTCCTCCTCAGTCCTCCTCTGAGATGGCATCTGCCCAAATATGTTGCTGCTTTCCATGGGGGGTGATGGGGACTGGGAAGCTGGGTAGCTGGTTGCAGAGGTGGCAAAGGACATGTGGGAACGGTAGCTAGGGCTCGCTCTCCTGCTACTCTGGCGTTGGGCAGGTGAGGAGGAAGGGGAAGATCTCCTTGAGAAACTGGCTGTGGAAGGAGGGAGGAGGGTAATCTCAGACATCTCTGGGGGAATGGGAGGGTGGACAATGCCGGGACGTGGCCTGGGACGTACTACAATCTCTGGGGAGCCCTCATGAGAGCTAAGGGGGCTTTGGGTGAGGGGTGAGAGTTGAGACGGCTGGAGAACCACCTGATGCAGGCCAGAATCCATCCTTCGAGCCTGTCTGGGACTGAAACGAGGGGTGGTGTCAAACCATCGTGTGTCCAGGCTACTGAATGTGCTAGGGACTATATGGGCCATTGGATCGGTGTAAGGCAAAACTGGCACACCCATACCGTGGCTTGTGTGTCTTAGCTGCCCTAAATGTGCCTCTTGCATAGTTAAATGCCTGGCTGGGGAGCCATGAGGCTTAGCCTTGCTGGGAGACTTACTTGAGCGGCTCTTTGGAGCCTCCAGTGGCAGGACAGTTGGGTAGGTGGGCATTGGGAGGGAGGAGGGCTGGAAAGCACTAAGGGGAAGGACATGAGGTGGAGGAGGATAAGGGGAGTCATGGCGGAGATGCAAAGGGTGATGGGGTGGAAAAATGAATTGGGGCCCCTCCAGACTTGCAAAGGTGAAATCCAGTCCCTGCCAAATCTCTGGTGAACGAGAGGAAGATGTGAGTGTCAGAGGAAGTGGAAAACCAGAGACAGTATATTGTGGAAAATCTCCCTCTCCCATTTCTTCAGGAATCATGGGGTGACCAAAAGGACCCTCAGCAAGGTATGGAGGGGAGGACATGACAGAGCTGAGAGGACTGGTATCAGGCATGTAAAAAGGAGGTGGGGGATCATGATCCCCAGGGGGGCCTAGATAGCCATAGAAAGCCCTGTGGTGGAGAGAGCCTCGGATTTGCCCTGTGGCCTGGAGCCGACTGCTCTCCATGATGGTCATACCTTCGAAGGGCCTGTGGAAACGAGGGCTGTAGGCTGGAGGTTGCAGATAGGATTCCTGACTGGAGAAAGGGGAAATCTGGTGAGGCCGAAGGGGGGGCATAACTGGTGGCAGAGGCCTAGGATCGTCATTCTCTTCATCTGACTGCCGAAATTCAGGATAGAGGTCTGATTCTTCTACAAAAGGGAAGCCCTCAATTCGCCGAGGCTTAATAGACATTTCTGCGTCAGTGGGATCTATGACAAACCGTCCATCTGGGCCACGGCTGATGAGTTCAATAGGTGTTGTTGCTTCAGCTTCATGCTTGGCGATGCTGTACTTCTTACTTGTTATTGCTCTTTTAGTCTTCTTGTACAAAGACAATTCCTCCTTCTTCCCTGGACTTGGGGGTGGTTTCTTCCCACGCTGGTCATGACTATCTTCAGATGATTCTGATGGGGAAGCCTTTGAACGGATGCTCTCTGGGCTCACCTTTCCTGAAGATGACCTATAAAAAGAACATAAATGAAGTGAGTATTCAAAAATTCAATAGCCCAGTATGCTTCACTGATCACACTGGACAAATCCAGCTACATTAGAACAAAGGTTACAACATGCCTCACACAAGAAATTATAAAAGCACAAGTGTTATTAATGACATTAAGGAAACATTCAATTTACAGCTTTTTTTAGTTTTACTTCAAAATCAGGAGCCATTAGTGAACAAAGTTATCATGTAAGATGCATTTCCTGATGATTTTTAATCAGTACAGTTAAGACGTTATGAATGTCATGAACTTTAATTGTACTGAAAAGAATATGGAATAAGCAACAGGAAATTAAAAAGAGTAATTACTTCTTTATGAAAAGTCTCTGCTTTCGTTACCTACTTGGTAACTTAACCAGGATACATAGGACAAACTAAGTAGACCAGTGTTTAAATTCATTAATAATTCTATTATATATTAAAAAAACACTGATAATAACAAACTGGTTTGTAAGTAGCTACACATTTTCAGAAAATACCTCCATTTCTAATCAATACCAGACTAGATACCATTTTCACTCTAGCTACTATATCTGAGAGAAACCTTTTAAAATGTTTGGCTTTGTACTGCTATACATTAAGTATTAATTATGTATTTTTCTATAACACTTTATATTCATGGCTAAAAAGCACCATCAATGTAAAAGTAGCATCTTTATCACGTATGAACTGGCTCAAAATGTTAGTTAATCTGTTACATCAGGACTGTGTGTGTGGCTTGATCAGTGCCCTGAATTACATGACATGGTTTTTCCAACCAAGCTCTGTCCATTTCAAAAAAGTGAGAAGAGCACAGAGAAACAAATATTGTATATACTTTAAGGTAAACACCAAAAAGTATTCCAAATTTGGCACAAAGTAGTGCGACCTCATCTCTCACAGTCAGAAGGGGATTATTAAAGGGTTTTAGGGCCTTTAAGGGTCTTCACATTCATACTATGCCACAATCACAGCCCTTTTTATACATAGCTCCCCCAACTTGTTGCCAATGTAAAATATGACAGGGTTACATATGAATATAACCCTCACTCACTCACAGCCTCAAACTGAAGTTCATAGTGAGTAATTGAGAGACAAAGTGGCTGTGTTTTCCTGTAAACACAGCCTATAAAATGGATGTCTTTCTGTGTGTGGCACATACATTTGAGTAAAAATCAACAGCCTAATCCCTGCTGTGTTAGAAAAGCCTCACTCACAGCTACTGTATTTTACATGATGAGAAAGCATCTATTAGTGAAATGGGTACTACGTGATGCTCTTGGTGAGCCTGCTAGGATGGCTGGGAAGTAATTGTAGTGGTTAAAAATAAACAAGGTTCCAGAGGTAATATGTAATAGAACAGTATGTAGTTCATATATAGATATTATATGTAATAGTTGTGTAAGGATGTAAGGGTGAGCTAAGTGTCTAGGTAAGCTTCACCTGTTTCTTGCACAGGCAAGAATATCTTGGGCTGTGTCCCCCTTGTTTAACTTATGGGTAAACACCCGAGGAAGTCTAGATATACTGTAGCTGCAGCCATATGTGAACTGTTCGTGTGCTCTGTTCAGGTTTAGAAAAAGGAAATGAGCACTAGGTCAGTGGGACCTAGAAGTTCATGTACTGGACATTCGTAGACAAGGCTCGGAAGAAGGTGTGTGGGTAGCTGGCATGAGACTGTGTCTCATGCTCAGGCCATGGAGGGCTGTGTAAGTGCGAGGAGATAAAAGGCTAGGAAAGCTGGGTTAGAGAAGAAGAAGAGAGGATGACAATGCTACTGTGAAAAGTGTTCTGGAGACCCAGGCCTGGGTGGGGAAACGAACTCAGAACTATGAACTCTAACTGACGGTACCTCATGACAACAACTGACTGGACTGACTAACGCTTTTGACAATCTTCTTATTTAATACTTCATCTATCGCATTGCAGGAGGAGAGTCTCTGTTCTCTGTTGCCCTAACTACAAGATTATCTGTTTCACTGCTACTCTGTTCTGAATAATTGTAATATTAAATGGTCATTTAAATTGGGATGGTTTGTCTGAATTAATTTAGTCTGCATCACACTCTAGCCACGACATAAATGTAACAGTCAGGAATCTATCTTAGAGTCAACCTCAGGACAAACAGCTTGCTAAAACATGTTAGTGCCAAAAAATTATTATCCATGACATTGTCAAAAGAGAAAAGAGCTGGGTTTTATACTAGGTTTGAGCATCAACAGTAATGTAATGCTCTGGATATGTCAGACAGGTGTAACTGACAGCTGGAGAAGCAGATGCTACTATCAAAGACACCTGAAGATAGATATTACCAATCAATCATACTCACTGGTATACCAAAATCCATCAAAACCAGCTAAAAGGTCAGTGTAATCCTGAAATCTAGTCAAAATGACCTGATTGGAGTCACTCTGTAGCCAGCTTTGCATTTGTTAATTCTGGGTGCTAGCTGCCCTTTATTATGACTGAAACATCCCACCCAGCCTCATCACTATTAAAGAGGTAAATAACTTGTATTTGAAAATATTATCAGTACATAACACACTGATGATATGAAACTCAGTTCCCATCTACATGATAATCATGATAACAAGTTTTTTAAAGAGCAAATGAAACCACAACTTGTTTTGAAGCCACAATTACTTTATTTAGCGGTAAATGAACCATATATCCAAATCTCAGTGGAGTCACTGAGTCTTGACCACTGATGACTGAGTTTATTAGGCAGCTACCAATGAAAAACAGTTACATATGGTATGGTAGATATTCACGGATTGTTTCCAGGGTGTAGTGCCTTGTCAGATATGGTTTCTGTGGACAATCACATCTACTTTATAAAATCTAAAGAGACTGATGACACAACATCAATCACTTCATTTAATACTTGATTTTTTGTAGATTTGAACACCATTTCTATTGGTAACAATAATATGTTAATCATCACCTTCATGAATTTGTTTGGACATCAGACTAAAGCTTTCTGATTGCTTTTATCTGTTAAACTTTTTTAAATATGTTGTCTATGATGAGGCTATAATGTCATTATTTATCTAAAAATGTGGACTACAACCAAAAGAAATAGTAGCCAAAATGATAAAAATCTAAATCTTCTCACCATGTGCTCAAGAAAAACTATTGTTCATGTTCTTCAAACTGGCTGTGTCAGGAGGATCCACACATTAAGGCAACATAGCAATTACTTCGTTATTAAACAGCTACTGAAGGAAGCTTAAGTAATCACTGCTGATGTTGCAGGAGTAAAGGTCATTCAAAAGTTGCTCTACCATTATACAATTAGATAAAATACTCAATTTTCACAATGCTTTTCATAAGCTTATATTTTTATAATAAGGAGCAGATGGCACTGGTATTGCTATTGTTATAAGCTAAAACTGCAGAACAACAATTGATGGTACAAGGTAAGTTAATGGGCAAAGTGATGACCAAGTGTGAATGTGACGACATCTGAGATGGGAAAAGAACAGTGGTGAAGTCTACCAACTCAGAAGTGTCAAAAAGAGAAGTGTTTCAGGTCACCTGGAGGTGGGACAGTGATTTAAAGGAGTTAGCAGGGCCACAGTCACATATAGCTCAAACCACAAAAATAGTCACACGGCATTAGCAGCGTGTTGTGCACAAATCTGCTAGTATGCAAACTGTGTTACTTTTAAATAGAGCCAGGCTGTTCCCCCATTTTCCCCCAGAACTCGGCTGCAGGTTCGATCTTCTCATCTATCATACTTCTCTGATATAAAGAAAAGGATTGAACACACATCTAAAAGAATGATTTCAATGGCTCTGGAAACAAATCTCTCAAGATGTAACATTAACATAAGAGAAATACTGTATATACCAAAATAGATGCCTTACATTTCAAATAGCAAGAGCACCACTCCTGCACCATCTGTCATTCACCACAAAAACATTCTAAGTGCAACATTTTGAGAAATACACTTATTCTCTTTAAAGAGTCAAATGAGAAGATCAATACCACTCTTACTGTATGTCTGCAGTCAAGTCAAATTGAAGTCACATTTTATTTATATAGTCCAATATCACAAACCACAAATTTGCCTCAAGGAGCTGTATAACAAAAAGGAAGACCGGGCCAGGGGACAGTTACATTAGCTTTGATTAGCTCACTCAGAGGGCAGAAATTCACTAAATAATTTGTTATACCTCATTTGTTTAATCCATACAAAAGCTAAAAGTGCAAAAACAAATTGCAATTTTAAGGGTAGATATGCACCAGACTGTTTCTTAGCTGGAATCAGTGATGTCCTCGAGTCCTTGCCAGGCAACCAGTGGAGAGCCAGGTAACTTGCTTCCCTTTGCCTGTTTCTACGTATGCTAAGCTGGGCTAACCGACCCTGGTGAAAAATTACAAATACAGTACATCAAACCAGGTTTTAGTACAATTACTATAGTCATAGGTGCTCCCAATTAAATTCCCAGCAAAGAAGAAAATAAGCATATTTCCCAAAGTGTCAAACTATCAAATAAAAAAAATGAAGACAGCAGAGGGTGATCAATTCTTGCTGTCCTGAACAGGGCTACTGTACGTGTCAAGCTGAGAGACATTCACAAACTGAGTGTGTCATCCTTCCCTGTGTCTTTTAATCTTGTTCCACATGGCAAAATGGATCATTCTTTTACAAAACTCCTTATCCCTTGTTTTCTGATGATGAACATCCTTCATCTTTCATGCATGAAAGACCGTGATCAGTATTGTTGTTGTCTGGTGGGGACATCAGAAACATGCAGCCAGGTCAGGAGTCTGAGGAGCTGGGGCTGGACCAAAGTGCAGTGGGGTGATTACAGTGCGCAAGAACAGGGGGACAATGGTTGGAACACTCACTGAGGACTGGGAGGTTGGGACAGGTACAGGTACAGACCTGCTTGCGTCCAGCCCCTGCCAGTAGGGCTCAATGCTGGGAATGAACGTAAGTGGACTCCTGCAGAAGTGGGGAGATCAGACAGTAGGAAGTGGGGAGAATATGGAGATAAACAGGAAGCCTGCCTATGATAGGTATGTTTATTTAAAAAAGCCACTGAAAATGAGAGAAAATAATTTGATATTGAATTTTAAAAAGACAAATGAGATGAAACAGTAGTGAGTCACAAAGATCTAAGATAACAAAATGTGAAAAGAGAGAAAAGGTTTGCAGAAAAGAGTAGAGGTCATAAAACAAGAGTAGGTAAAGGAAAGAGAAGACGAAATAAGTAAAGGTGTGACTGCACTTTCAGACTGTTCTCCATTTATTGAAGATATATGGCCATAGCAGTATAATAGTTAGTTGATCCAACTCAAATTCTTCTAGGTGTGTTTCATTTGCCTCGTGTATTTTTTGGCACATTTTAAGTCCTTCCACTTAGGACGTGAAGGTGGCCGAGGAATAAGGAAGGAGAAAGTAAGAAATTGTGCATTTTGTGAAATGAAATGCTCTTCCCACTCATGTACCGTTTGAGGTGTAGTCACTAGTTGGTGCCAATCACAGATCTGGTGCTGTCCCATAGCATCTCTATAACCTTGGACTTTGTAAATATTAGCCCATGCATGTCATAGAATCATGGGGTGGCACAGAGGTGCGGTGGTTTGCACTGTCGCCTCACAGCAAGAAGGTTCCGGGTTTGCGCCCAGGCCGACCCGGGGCCTTTTTGTGTGGCGTAAGCATGTTCTCTCTGGCTTCATCCCACAGTCCAAAGACATGCAGTTTAGGTTGATTGGTACAGTGCCTTGCGAAAGTATTCGGCCCCCTTGAACTTTGCAACCTTTTGCCACATTTCAGGCTTCAAACATAAAGATATAAAACTGTAATTTTTTTGTGAAGAATCAACAACAAGTGGGACACAATCATGAAGTGGAACGAAATTTATTGGATATTTCAAACTTTTTTAACAAATAAAAAACTGAAAAATTGGGCGTGCAAAATTATTCAGCCCCCTTAAGTTAATACTTTGTAGCGCCACCTTTTGCTGCGATTACAGCTGTAAGTCACTTGGGGTATGTCTCTATCAGTTTTGCACATCGAGAGACTGAAATTTTTGCCCATGCCTCCTTGCAAAACAGCTCGAGCTCAGTGAGGTTGGATGGAGAGCATTTGTGAACAGCAGTTTTCAGTTCTTTCCACAGATTCTCGAGTGGATTCAGGTCTGGACTTTGACTTGGCCATTCTAACACCTGGATATGTTTATTTGGGAACCATTCCATTGTAGATTTTGCTTTATGTTTTGGATCATTGTCTTGTTGGAAGACAAAGCTCCGTCCCAGTCTCAGGTCTTTTGCAGACTCCATCAGGTTTCCTTCCAGAATGGTCCTGTATTTGGCTCCATCCATCTTCCCATCAATTTTAACCATCTTCCCTGTCCCTGCTGAAGAAAAGCAGGCCCAAACCAGGATGCTGCCACCACCATGTTTGACAATGGGGATGGTGTGTTCAGGGTGATGAGCTGTGTTGCTTTTACGCCAAACATAACGTTTTGCATTGTTGCCAAAAAGTTCGATTTTGGTTTCATCTGACCAGAGCACCTTCTTCCACATGTTTGGTGTGTCTCCCAGGTGGCTTGTGGCAAACTTTAAACGACACTTTTTATGGATATCTTTAAGAAATGGCTTTCTTCTTGCCACTCTTCCATAAAGGCCAGATTTGTGCAGTATACGACTGATTGTTGTCCTATGGACAGAGTCTCCCACCTCAGCTGTAGATCTCTGCAGTTCATCCAGAGTGATCATGGGCCTCTTGGCTGCATCTCTGATCAGTCTTCTCCTTGTATGAGCTGAAAGTTTAGAGGGACGGCCAGGTCTTGGTAGATTTGCAGTGGTCTGATACTCCTTCCATTTCAATATTATCGCTTGCACAGTGCTCCTTGGGATGTTTAAAGCTTGGGAAATCTTTTTGTATCCAAATCCGGCTTTAAACTTCTCCACAACAGTATCTCGGACCTGCCTGGTGTGTTCCTTGTTCTTCATGATGCTCTCTGCGCTTTAAACAGACCTCTGAGACTATCACAGTGCAGGTGCATTTATACGGAGACTTGATTACACACAGGTGGATTCTATTTATCATCATTAGTCATTTAGGTCAACATTGGATCATTCAGAGATCCTCACTGAACTTCTGGAGAGAGTTTGCTGCACTGAAAGTAAAGGGGCTGAATAATTTTGCACGCCCAATTATTCAGTTTTTTATTTGTTAAAAAAGTTTGAAATATCCAATAAATTTCGTTCCACTTCATGATTGTGTCCCACTTGTTGTTGATTCTTCACAAAAAATTACAGTTTTATATCTTTATGTTTGAAGCCTGAAATGTGGCAAAAGGTTGCAAAGTTCAAGGGGGCCGAATACTTTCGCAAGGCACTGTAACTCTAAATTGCCCGTAGGAGTGAGTGTATGTGGTTGTTTGTCAACATGTCAGCCCTGTGATAGACTGACAACCTGTCCAGGGTGGACTCCTACACTCCTCACCCAATGTCAGCTGTGATTGGCTCCAGCCCCCTGTGACCCTATTTAAGAATAAGCGGTGTAGATAACAGATGGATGGATGTCATAGAATCAATACTTTGGCAAGCATTCACAGATACACAGCAAACTTGTACAATATTTGTACTGTGTTAAGTGTCTAGTTCAAGCCCGTATGTGTTGAATTTTAAGGTATATGGCATCTTTTAAATTATTCTGCTTTTATGTTTTTAGAATTATTTGACATTCCAGATAAAAACTGGTGCTGTTTGTGTTTCTTTCAGCCCACTATTCAATGTTTCCACACTTCTGATTTAGCAGCAGGATTTGTTGCCTTAGAATGTTTTTATACAACCACTGTGAGCTGCTAAAGTCAGAAATGTTCAAATTCTACACATGATGACTTTAATCTATAGAAGAGGTGATTTTTAGAGGTCCTGTATTTTTTGGATCTTATCTCACTTAAAGGATAAGGCTGGTGATACCAAAGGCAACAGTCTGTCTTGCAGCATATTCTGAATCCCCTGCCCTTTCTGTGATACTCAGTCCAGTTGGTTCCAACTGTAGATGTAAATGTTATTCATTGTTATTCAAAAAAAATTTAATACTTAGTGAAACAGCTAGTCACTGTAGTTTTTAGCAAATATTACTCAAAGCGGTGGGGGGGAATAGTATGTTTGTTGGGGAGTATATCAGCCACGGATTATGCGAGCTTGCCTAGTATTTCTGAAAGCAAAACAGTATTTGAATCAAATAAACTGCAGTGTGTGTTCATGGTAAAATAGGAATGATGTCACTCAGTGCAACAGTGTGGTTCATTGATGTGTTTTTATAGTTTTCGGACAACAATAGAGCTTTGTGGCACAGAAGAATGTATCGGGCTTTGGATGTAAAGTACGTACACACAGTATTTGTTAGTAGGATACATAAATAGTTGGAACCAGTAGCAATGAGTGTCCTGAATAGTTTTCCACCTACAGTAGGATGATGATTTTCTTAGTCAGAACAGACCATTCTCACAGCAGACTGTGTGACCTGTCTAACAAATGTGTAACATAATGATGGATACTTTCTATTTGGTGGTGCCAAGGCTGTAGTCTGTGCCTGCTAGCTCACTGGACCGCTTACTTCCATGATTAATGTTATTAGTTCCCCTTGTGCTCTTCTCACTATGACAAAATGTCTGCTATGAAAAAAAGTCCATTAAGGGACCTGAATTGTACTTTATGACAGTGGACTAGATTGATTTTGGGTCACACAAGGGCAGAGCAATGAAAAGACATGAAATAATAGGATGGAACTTTTGTCACCTGACTTGCTGTCATTAAACTCCCAGCGTCTCCCAGTTGCAAGTGACTCATACAGTACATCCTTTAAACAGCTGGATTCTTTAAGGCTTAGGTCTAATAAATAATCTGACTTCAGACAGATGTTTGAATTCCTCTGTTGTACAAAGGCATCTATTTTTATTATTTTTTATTCTTAAACAGGAGCAATTTCCACAATATTCAAATTAAATTTTGGCTCTTTTTAAACTGACAAAGACATGACAAAGAAAAG